AGCACGTGGCTGACATCTGAGCTGGGAAAGGTCACACGGAGACGCCATTTCCACTCCTGAGAAACCTGAAGTACTGTCTCTCCCTCCTAACAGAAGCTTTAATGAGAGCAGACAGCTGAAAGCTCTTCGGCTGCGCAGTCGGGACACACTGTCAGTCCATCTCACCTCCTAATCGCAGTGAAATCAGCCATGAAGGAGATGCTTGAAAGACGGCGCTCATGATGCAACTGTTGCCACTGGAAAGATATCAGAGGAATTGCAGACATATTACCACCCAAACAATCCTGTAATGTGTTACTTAATAAAGAGAGCTGGCTTTGGTTTTCAGCTCATGCTCTGTTATATTTCTCTTACAGTTGGTGTTCACGAGAATTCACAGTCAAACTCAGGTCAGATTTGTTGATCTGTAGATTTAATGCAAGCCCACCATCATTCACAAAGAGTCACAGCGTCCTCTAGTGCTCGTCTCTGAACGACTCTCTCTTGCTCTGTGCAACAGTGAGTTTTACACACATTAATAGTATTACAGTTATGCAACAGATGCATTATACACATACAAAAGAAAGAATAGTTAATAACCTATCTGGCTTGATGTGTCCTGTACTGTTTTCTCTTTTTTATTTCTAAATTATTCCATAAATTCATCAAAGGCTATTTACATGGCAGCCTCAGAATATTACCAATTAAAATAATCATTAAAATAAAGAAAATCATAATTTAACAGCATCTTCCTTGCAATACAATATATATATATATAGATAGATAGATAATAATTACTGATGTTTGTGCTGCCATTTTCCTTCCAAAATGATGTCACTTCCTGAAGTAGGATGAAGTTAAGAGGAAATGAAAATAATGTTGCATATATATATATAGTTTTAAAACAGGCTTCATTTTCTGCAAAATAGGTTTTTTTTATTTATTTTTTTTATAGCAAAATATGACATGCACATGATATTGATTGTTTTTTTTATTAACTCTTGGACTTAAATATTTATACATTTTTTTACAAATTTGTAGTAGTAGAAAACTTCATTATAAATAAAAAAAATTTAATAAAAAACTATTTGACATTTTTCTTACAACAAATACATAAAACAGCAATTATTTAACTTTTTCAGTTTGATATTTGATAGAAAATCTCAGAAGCAGCGATGTGAAAAATATAACTACAGAATAATGAACGAAATAATTAAATTCCTGAATATAACCCTTAGTAAATAACACAAAAATACACTAAATAGAGCTAAATCCTCTAGTATCTTCTAATAACTACTTAGAAAACCCTCCAAATCACCATGATCTCACCAAACACACAAACTGTTGAAGTGCAAAGGCTTATTGATGAAGTTTTCACTTCACAGTTCAGTTACACTTACAGTAGTTTTGTTTACTGTTGATTTACAGTGTTTAGTATTCTGGCATGCATGTTTCAGATGCAGATGATTCTGACAGGCAGCCTGCACCTCCTAAATAAATAATAAATCACACTTCATCCCAGTGAATTATCAGTGTCCTGTAACGGCACAGATTCATTCTGCTGCACCTGAGAGAGTGTCTCTGGTGGTGTGTGTGTGTGTGTGTGTGTGTGTGTGTGTGTGTGCGTGCGTGAGCGTGAACATGAGTGTGTGTGTGTATGTGATCATGAGTGTGAGCATAAATGTGTGTGAGTGTGTGTGTGAGAGTGTATGTGTGTGTGAGTATGTGTGAGAGCGTGTGTGCGTGCGTGCGTGCGTGTGTGTGTGTGTGTGTGTGTGTGTGTGTGTGTGTGTGTGAGAGAGCGAGTCTGGGGGTGTGTGTGT